TCTAATTTCTGTGAAGAGAGAGTATAAGTAAATAATGGATGGACCAAGGTTTTGCTAGTTGAGATAAGGATAGCTATACAGGGAGTTGACATGCATTGATTTCCTGTGCATGTGTGTTACCTTCTAAGTTAATTCTTCTCGAACTAACCTTTTCTCTAGTTCCTGGTCCCCTTCTCCTAGTGGCCTCAGTTGCTTTAAAGTATCTGCTTTTGTTTCTCTATGGATTATAACAATTCTTAAGGCATTTAATTCAACACAAGACAAATGTCTAGCCTCTCTTTGAGAATGTAAACTCATTAAAGGTATTATTTCTCTTAATTCCAAGCATGCTGTCTTGCACTGAACTTTATTTATTGAATAAATGATTTAGAGTCTATAAAGTATTTAACACAATATAATTCCATCATACTAAAGTAATTTTGCTTTAGCTTCTGAAAAAAATTATGAGATAGATTTCAAAGGTAAACTTTCTCTCATACCCAGCATGAATATTTGAATAAAAGTAGTCCTGAGAGGCACTCACTTGCCAAGGTCTTTAATTTTCTATTGATAGTTTAGAGAAATATTACAGCAGTGTCCTGTTGTGATGGGGATAGGAGGAATGTTTCAAGACCTCCAGTGGAGCCTAAAACTTTGGATAGCAGCAACTGATATATTATCTTTCTTCCTATAAGTGTACACACAAGTTTATGCCTTTTCCATTTTAACAAAGTACTTATCACTATACTATACCTGCAACTTTTGCCCTTTGAGATGCAACAGCAAAAGTACCATGAATTTCTTTTACCTTCTTCACAATTTTACAGATAAAACTTAGCAACCTTGGCATATGATTTTTTTTCTTTTCGTTATGAAGTCAAGATCTTTCAACTCTTTACTTAAAGGAAACACTTAATAGATTCTTTAACATATTGGAATTGTCAGCATCACTACTCTTTAGCTTTGGGGCTATTAAGTAAAATACAGTTTAATTAAACACAAACACTATGATATCACAACAAGGACAGTCAATTTGATTACCAAGATGGCTACTAAGTAGGCAAGATACACTGGACAAAGGAATGAATCACAATGGGGAAAGATGGTGTATACTTTAAAAAGTAAAGCAGTTATTTCTGGAATTCTCTATTTAATATTTTTGGACCACAACTAACCTTCACTGAAACCATATATAAAAAAGGACTACTGAATTTCTAACAAGCCTGTCAATTTCATTTATAGAACCTAAAAAAAATTACTTTAAATTTTAGCACAACAACAAAAAAAGTAAGTACTCTGTACCTCCCCTCCCTGTATGGTTTTGTACATATTTAATGCCCCTTGAATAGTTTTACAGGATGAATTTATATTCACTTTGCAGAGAAGATTCACTTAGCAAAAAGTATGCTTTAAGTGATTATAATGAGGTTTTCCAAAAATTAGGAAAGAAGGAAGAAAGAAAAGGGGGGGAGGAACTTTGGGTCAGAGTGCCTATAGCTAATTAAATTAAGAAAAAAATAGGTGAAACACTTTTTTCTTTTTAAAATCTGGATTCTGTCTTATCAAAGGCTCAAATTATTTTATCCACTGTGAATCTTTATGGGTGGGGAAGGGGATTTAGACTACAGGATGAGGCATTTTTCAAACTTATTTGGATATGGATCATTTATTTTAGAAATGTTTAACTTTGTAGATTTTGCCAAACTAAATCATCAGAAAGTTTTCTGACTCTTAAAATTACTAACAAAGAAATTAAAATTTAAATATAGCCAATGATGATATCGATGACATAACACAAAAGCACTAAAAATGGGTATCCATACATGACATAGTTAGAAAAAACAAAAGTTACTTTAAAAAGATGAATCTGCACCTTCTCAGAACCTCAATTTCCGGAAGGAAAGAAACTGTGTACAGACTAAAGTCATGTGGACAGAGGAGCAGGAACTGCACAGGAAGCAGAGATAAGCTTGTTTGTAAGTAAGAGGCTAAGTAGGTGATATGTGATACTAAAGATTTAAAAGAAAAAATACAGAGTATGCAAGTTCTGTGATCAGTGTAAGAATGAGATTTCAAAATCTGCTTGAGTGGTCTAATAAACTGAGTAGGAGGGAAAAGCTTAAAGAAGTAAATAATTTCAACAGTGAGACCAAAAGGATACTATAAAATAAAGAGTGGGAGAGGGCTGGAGTATGGCTCAAGTGGTAGAGTGCCTGCCTAACAAGTGTGAGGTCCCGAGTTCAAACCCCAGTACTGCCCCCCCACAAAAAGAGTGGGAGAATTAGAACTGATAAGCAAAATTGGAGGGGAAAAAAAAGATAGCTTGTGGTAGACCAGTGTAAACACTCCAAGTAGAATTAAATTGCTAGAGTTGATGTATGGGTAACCGGCCTTTCAAAGCACCCCAAGAAAGGCAGATGCTTGGAGAAATGGCAAAAACACTACAGCAATGGCTTTTAAAGAAAAAGGGGATTTGTGCTTAAGGCAGGGGAATTCCTGAAGAAGAAGTTATAATAGTTGAAGTGAAAGATGACCATATTCTACAACATAAAGTTTACAGCCATTAATAACATTACAAAGTCTACTCAGAAAATACAGAATTTTACAGTAGCTCAGACATGCACAGAAATTTACCAAATGGATTCTTTGGACAACAATTGTAATTTTAATTATATACAAATATAGTATAAAATATACATTACTTTACCTCATGGAATGCCCAGAAAGTTCCTCCAAGGTGCTTTCAGTGTCAAGAATCTGTTCATATTCTTTAACAGAACGTTTGCTACTAGTACCAGATTTCTTTCCTTGATGGGAACCATGTTCTGAGCCAGACTGTACTTTTTCCTCATCAATAAGTGAATTCTGTACATTTCCAGTGAATGAATCCAACCCTGGAAAGTAAATTTCTTATAAGGCCAATTCCCAAAATTCAAGTTACTGAGATAGCTGATACTAGATTTCAATAAAATAATTGGGAAGTGGAGATTGGGAAGACTGCAGTTTAAGGACACCCCAGGCAAAAAGTTAGTGCCCATCTCAATCAATAAACTGGGCATGGTTTGATGGACCTGTAATCTCAGGTACTCAAGAGGCATAGGTAGAAGGATCACAGTCTGAGACCAGGAAAAACAACTAAGGACCCTACCTAAAAAATACTTACAACAAAAGGCTGGCGGAGGGGCTCAAGTGCGACAGCACCTGCCTAGCAAGCATGAGGCCCTGAGTCCAAACTCCAGTGCCACCAAAATAAATGAATGAATGAAGTGAAATGCATAGAGTTTGTTTGGCATTGTGAGAGGGAATCAGGGAAACTGAAAGTCACAAAACACGACCTATAATCTCATACGTTTAGATTATATATAATTTTCATCTAATTGGTTTTAGATTGTTTTTAAAACCTCCATTGAATCAGATTGTTTATACTTATGAACTTAACATATCATGATATTTGAAAGTTGCACAGCATATTGTAGTAGAAGATGGCTAGGTTTGGGGAGTCAGAAGTAAGAGTCTGTGCTTTGCCAATGACAACTCAGTGACCTTAAGTGAGACTCTAGCTAATAATGCATGACAATTGCAAAACTACAGAACTGAGCAACATGAGCATGTCCAGCTGAATTTTAATATGATGAAGTACTGACTGAAGATAAGGCTCTGATTTTAATAACTTGGGCTGGGTGTGATAGTGCACACCTGTAATACCAGCATCGGGTGAAGGTGGAGTGGGGCAGCTGACACAGGAGGATCACAAGTTCAAAGCCTGCCTGGGCAACTTATCAAAACCCTGCTCCACAATTGAAATAAAAAAAAAGCGGAAGAGGTAGCTCAGTGGTAGAGGACTTGCCAAGCATGTGAGAGACTCTGCTTCAATCCCAAGTACTGGGGGAAAAAAACTTGCAAAACGCTTTATACTACAGCTTCATCTTCATATTGTAAATAATATATTAGCACATTATAGACATTGGTAAGTCCTGTAGGAAAGAATCCTGTTTTCTTCTAAAGGCATTTCCCACATTTATAGAATCATAAAGCTCTTTTATTCTCAAATTACCCATGAAAGAGCATATTTCACACAACCTGTACTTCACTAGAAAAGAAAGGTTTTGGGATGTGCTGGTAAAATGATGTCTAAAGGACTGAACTTTAAGAACACTTCTAATATATAAGAGATTATACTATATGTTTAAGAAATATTTTTTCCTCATATTCTCATCCTGGAAGTATACTGGCACTGGCTTTTGAAGGGCTATTTCCCAAAATGAAATTTTAGGCATAAAACTCTTTCCTGCATTATTTCACTTCTAGAATTCTGCCCTATAGGAATTCTTCTAGAATAGATGAATGCATAAAGATGTATTTCTAAGGCTATCCAATGTAGCAGTATTTATAAAAATAAAAGTAAAAAAGAATATAATCTAAATATCCAACAATGGAGAACTGGCTAAATAAGCTATAATATATTCAAATAATAGAAAACTAGGCAGTCCTAAATCAGTTACGGTAGGGTACATCTTTAATCCCAGCACTTGGGAGGCTGAGGCAAGAGGATCTTGAATTTCAGGCCAGCCTGGGCTAAATGTGAGACCAGTGTCTCAACAACAAAAAGAACACTAGGTAGTCCTTAAAAATGGTTACCCATACTTTACTAACAGAAAAAGACAAATAAAATAATCTACAGACAAACAAAATAACATGTAAAATGTGATCTCAGGCATGTAAAATTTCCAATTTATACATGCCCACAAACTGGAAGAAACCTTACTAAAAATATTAACATTTCACCATTAGATACCATTAGGATGTCCACTTTATCAAAGCAGAAAATAAAAGTGTTGTGCAAGGATGTGTGGAAACTGGAATCTGATGCATAGCTGATGAGAATGTAAAATGGTGCAGCTGCTATGGGAAACAGTAGGGGTGATTCCTCAAAATAATAAGCATAGAACTCCTAATTGATCCAGCAGGTGGTCATCTGAATATATACACAAAAGAACTGAAAGCAGGGACTCAAACTGATACCCATATGCCAATGTTGATGCAGCAGCATCTTAACAAAAATATGGTAACACCAAATGCTTCTGAGCAGTTGGATAAATGCAATGTGAAGGAAATTCTGGTATATGATACAACAGGAATGAATCCTGAACTATTTTGCCAAGTGAAGTAGCCAGATACAAAAGAACAAATATTCCTACTTATACAAATTCTACTTATATGAAGTACCCAGAGTATTCAAATTCATAGAAGTGGTAAACAGGACAGTGGTAACCAAGGGCAGGGGGATGAAGGAGTAGAGAGGTGCTGTTTAATGGATGCAGAGTTTCAGTATAGTACGATGAAAAAGTTCTAGAGCTGAATGGTGCATGATGTAAATGTGTACTGAATGTCACTGCACTGTATATCTGAACATGGTTGAAATGATAAAATTTTGTACATAATATTTTACCACAATAAAAATTTAAATGTTAACATTACAAAGAGGGATTTCAGGGGATTTTTTATTTTCAAATCATAGTTTTCTATATTGACTGATTTATTCTTATCCATCTCCTCCCCCTTTTTTTAAAGTCCATAACCAGTATTTATCTTTATAAATAGGAAAAAAAAATTTTGAAAGCAAAATCATTCCCAAGCTTGAGGCAATCCTATGAACTTAAGAGGCTCTTGAATAATCACTGTATCTCATCCTCACCTGTAGGCCTACAAAACAAATTACAGTTAAAAGTAGAATAATCACCAAAGACAAGGAGAACGTTGGGAGAGAAAAAAAAAAAAAAGAGTGTAAATAAGGCCACTGAAAGTATCTCAATCACTCACAAATATTTATTGAATGACAATGGGCCAGCTACTGTGCTAACTATTGGAATGTACACATTATCTGATAATTTCATCTCAGCTTCAAAATTACCATATAAAATATCTATTACTATCTCTATTTTATAAATAAGAAAATTTGAGGATGATATTTAATGACACTTAGAAATGCATATCATACACTATTAAGTTTTTGTTGTTGCTTTTCTTTCCCATCTATGTCTCCCCACTCACAATACAGATGAGGCCCAGGGCCTGGGTTGAGGTGTTTATGGGGTAGGTTCACTTTGCCTCCTCTTTCTATACTGTCAATGTGAGAACACAGCCTGTGGTAAGCACCAGGAGGCCATGATTAAGTTTTTAAAAAATCAGTTGCAAAGCACTATACTAGTATTTGTTTTTTAAATAAAGGTGTCTATAGTTTTATGTATATATGGGGAAAGGAGTCACCAAATACGTTGTTGTAGTTATTTCTGAACAGAAGGGTCAAGGTGGATTTGTATTTCTTGTATGAGAGTTTACCTGCAGTTCTTAATTTTTTAATCATGTATATCTTTTGCATTAAAAGGTTTATAATGTTATATATCAAGAAATATTATAATAACAACAGACATATAAAATAAAAATAAATTTCTTTTTTTGAAGGGGGTAGTATTGAGGTTTGGACTCAGATACTCATGCTTGCTAGGTAGGTTCTCTATGTTTGAGCCACTCTTTCAGCCCTTTTATTGTTTTAGGTTTTTTTTTTTTTTTTTTTGGATAGGGTTCCACAACTTTGCCCAGGGCTGGCCTTGGTCTGTGATCCTCCTATCCATCCCTCACAAGTAGCTAGGAACCACAGGCATTAACCACTATGCCTGGCTTATGTGTTGATATGGGGTATGCTAACTTTTGTTCAGGCTGGCCTCAAACAACGGTTCTTTTGATCTCCACCTCCTGTGTAGCTGGGATTACAGCTGTGAGCCACTGCACCCAGGTTAGATTTCCTTATTACCATAAAGAAATTCTTCCAGCTTCATATGGAATTAAATCATAATTTTCTATCACTACCACAAAACCACTGGTAAGAGAAAAAGTCACCATGCAGGATTCCACTTACAGTCTATCTTTTCCTTTTTTCCTTTCTTTCCTTTGGAATTAGATGAATGAGATGATGCAGCAGACTGGGCTCCTGATGAATGCTGAGAGGTAACATCCACACAAGAAAGGTCATAGGCAGGCTTTCGGCTAGAATGGTCCTCCTGAGTGCCTAAATTGCTACCACCAATACTGTCAAAGAAAAAGTGGTTAAAGAAAAAGTAAAAAGTCTGAGTGAGGCTACCAATTCTATTTCAAAGACGCTTTAAGTCTAAGGAATAGATATCACTACATATGTATGTGTATATATATATATACACATACATATATACATACACACACCACATATATATATATATATATATATATATATATATATATATTCACTACCTACACAGAGAGAGAGAGAGAGAGAGAGAGAGAAATTAAAAGGTGGAAGACATCCAAGGAATACTGTGTAAGAACTTAATCCCTTTATGAATATTTTGGAATGGTGGTAATACAAGGAAAGAGAAAACAGAAGCATGTTTAGAAGCCTGGGACTAGCATAAAAAATGGCTTTTCAGCACAGAAGTCCATGGCCTCTTTATTACTATCATGTAAAATTTGGATCATTAACATTTTCATAACTTTTTATTAAGTAAACTTTTATAACAGTCAAAAAAGACAAAAAGAGAAAAGTCTTACAACACAGTTAAAACTAAAGATATATGAAAATCTATTGAATCACTAGAAGAATTTAACTACAATCAAAGATGGCTTCCACTTTGCTTTTTTCCTTACCACTATAAACCTGGATTGTTCTTTATGGCTCAATTTATAACTGAGAAAAATCTCAGATGAGCTATTTACTGAAGTGAAACTAATAAGAAGAAATATCTCAAAGGAAAAATACAGAGCTAGAGACATGGCTCAAGTGGCAGAGCACAAGTGCAAAGCCCTGAGTTCAAAATCCAATACTAAAATAGATAAATAAGTGTATTATGTACATATGCATATACAAAATGTTGAATACTGGAGAATGTGATGTCAATTTCTATCCAAATTTGTAATTTTATACAGTGTAACTATTTTCCCTTTGGTAATCTTAAAGAGAACAATAATTTAAGATTATTATTATTATTATCCTTCTTTAACCTGAAATTTAACAGTGACATTAAATATCACCACAATTAAATCCTTAAAAAGCTTTAATTTAAAAATTTAATCTTTTCTTTAAAGGTCAAAATTTAAACCTATACTTTTCCTGTTATAATTTTAATAATACTTATTTCTATTACTCCAATTATATTTAACAAATTTTATAAGATCACATAATATTATGAAGACTATAATTTGTGTTATGCAAAAAAAAATTGAATATGAAGAATTACAGATTTATACAGTAACAAAATTTAGAGAGAAAATTCTCTCCAGCAAAGTCTAGTTCACTTAGTGACTTTGAACAAGTAACTTAACCTCTGTGCCTCAGTTTCCTTTCTAAAATAGGAATATTAACAGTAATACTTAAAACCAGGCTACTATAAAAATGAATTAATACAGGTAAAGTCCCTCAGTCTTTTCAGTATCTTGCATATTAAATGCCCAATAATTATCAAGTATTATAATCATTATAATTACTCTTTTTCAAAGCTTTACAAAATTTCAGGTGTTTTCCTGACTTTAAAAAAAATTTCTGTATTATTTAGGATCAGAGAGCCAAGTATCTATCTGATCTTCTTCAATCATAGTACAGAAAACCATTTCTTAAGCTTTTTACATTAGTATACCACATGATAGTTTCCCAATACTATATTTAATTGGGGATACACAGATTGTTTTGACAAACCTGTATACTGCTGCCTATGTGCCAGGCCCTGTTTTAAGTATTTTATAATTTACTGAATGCTCATTAACCAGTCTGTGAAGGCAACTTATGCATAAGGAGGTTAAGTAATATGCACAAATACAAACGACTAATAATAATGACAGCCAGGATTTAAACCCAGATAGTCCGGACCCAGGGTCCATGATATTCCTACTATATAGCTCTACATACATGATTCAACAAGAACATTCAACTTATAATCACACCACAGCTTTCATCTGTATATTTTTTTTACTCTTCATACTTTAGTCCGTATTACCAACATATTCTTACTTAGATTCAAGAGCTGGTTTTTTTTCTGTCAAAGTCCCACTCCCTGAAGAGACAAAATCATCTTCATATGAAACACTGCTTAGAGGGGTTGTGATGACATTCAAAGGCTGTGATGCTGATGTTCCTCTGTCTAATCTGTCTTCAAACCCTGTTAAATGATTGAAGCATAGTTTAAAACAAAACAAAACAAAACAAAAAACCGTAAGCAAAGCATTCCACAACATGGAGATTCACAACATAAAGAAGTAATTTAGTTTACTTTTATTACAGCTTCTTTTTAACTTACCTTTTTAATCTAACAATGTATTTTTAACTTTTTATTAAGAAAAATTTCAAATATACATGAAAACAAAACAGCATAAGGAAACCAATGATCCACCCCCCAGCTTCAACAATGACCAATACATGAATAATCTAGTTTCAGTTAAATCTCTTACTATTCCTCTCATCGACCAGGCTCCCACACATTATGTTGCAAATCCCTGATAATATATCATTTCAACTCTAAACATTTCAATATAACTATAAAATAAAAATCTAATACAAGAAGTGAAACCAATAAAAACTAATATATTGGAGAAAAAAAATACACAGCTGGAGTCATGGCTCAAGTGGTAGAGCACCTGCTTTATAAGTGTAAAGTCCTGAGTTCAAACCCCGATACAGAAAAAAAAAAAAATATATATATATATATATAACACACATATAAAATGTTGAATACTGCCAGGCATCAGTGGCTCACACCTATAATCCTAGCTACTCAGGAGGCAGTGATCAGGTGAATGGAGATTCAAAGCCAGCCCAGGCAAATAGTTAGTGAGACCCTATCTC